TATGATACAATATGAATGTCCATCAACATATGAACTGATAAATAAATTCTGGTAGAATGTCAGTCATAAAATAGAATGAAGTACTTGAACGTGCTACAATATACATGTGCTTTGAAAATATATCAGTGAAATAAACAAAATTTATTTGTGGTCACTAATTAGCTGAGTTAATGTATATGAAATATTTGGAATTGATAAATTCATCAAAATGGGATGTAAATTAGTGCTTTCTGGGGACTGAAGGGTGGAAGTGACATGACTTTAATTTGGAGTAATGAAAGTATTTTGTAATTAGATAGAAGTGGTGACTGTTATTGGTGCTATTCTAAAGACTGCTGAAATGTTTACTTTAAATTGATTTATTTGGAGCTGAGGTGGTAGTGCATATCTGTAATCTTACTAAGTCTGAAGGTAGAAGTAGGCAGATCGGTCTGAGGCTGGTGAGTGTAAAGTTTAATGGAAGATCTTTTCCTAACAAACCAACTGAATGCAAAAGGGTGTTGAAGCCATCCTGGGTTCAAACCTCAGCACTACAAAAAAAATTAAGTTAGTAAAAGTAAATAGTTAAATAATTTTATGTTATATAAATTCCATTATATTGAATTATTTTTGAAGAGCTTAAGTATAAAGGTTGAAGTAGTATCTGATATTCCTATAATCAAAATTAGTTAATACAAGTCTACTCCATTCTGAGAGAGCAAAGAATGTTATTATCGATCTCAAGAAGTCTGGTGAGGATTGGGAGTAATTTTATAGAGTCGTCTTGAATGATGAATTCAATTTTCCTCTTAAATATACTCTTTTTATTAGGCATTAGAGTATCTGAGCTTGTGAATAATCACTTTTAATGGCTAAGCTACTGTCTCATGTGCTGCTTTATTTTCCGTGCTGGCCTAAGATTTCAGTAGTTCTCATTGATCCATACCAGAAATCAAAACTGGAAAGCGTAAGTGCTTCTCATGTGACAGATTCTGTATAGACAATGGGAACATAATTATACTAGCATAGACAGGCAGGAAAGGTTCATCAAGCTCAGCTGCTTTATTTTGGATCATAAATGGTTTAGATTAGCCAGCCATATCAATAGGATGATCTAGATAATTATAAATATGCTTTGTATTTTATGTGAGCCTATGAAAGCAAATGGTGACATTTATAATACCATATATAAGTGGTAACACTAGTGCTTTTCATATTTCTCCCATAAATTTCAGAATTGTTTTGATAAAAATATCCTTAGACTATTTCATTTTAACTTTATGTTAAGGTTTATACATATTGAGAGCCCTCCTTTTGTTAGCTGACAGTACATATGTCATGTAAGTAATCTTTGACTTTTAGACATCTCTGAAGAATGAACATTACTACTACAATGAGGTAATGGAGTTCCCTGAAGTTGAGTGATCTCCTCTAGAGCATACATGGTTAGGACTCTCCTCTCAGTACTTAAGCTATGTCTATCTAGTACACATCACAGACTAGAATGTGCTATGTAGCTATTCTTTGGCATGATTTCTTATACAAAACAACACATGAGAATCGAAGTCTGCTTATGACTGTTAGTTTGGCTTCCATCAGGAAACTCTATTCTGTGTGCTCACATTTCTGAATTACCTTAAAGAGATAAACTATCAAAACATATGTGGTAGTTTTGACATTGAACTGCCATGAGGTTAAGGATATAGCGGTTTACGAGAATGCTGAGATTTTGCAAATATTGGAGCTCCTGAAGTGGATGCAGAGGGCTCTGAATATGTGAAAACTGGGGAGAATTCTAAATTTAGGGCATGAGAAATGGGAACAACTAGGAACTTAAGAAGGCAGATAAAACCAAACTTGTATTCTTCTAGGTCTTTCCGAATTTGATGTTAAATAACTTTCATGGTAGAATTTCCTTTCTCCTTAGGACAGGAGTAATTGTCTTCCAAATGCTCTGTTTTCCTCATAGTATAACTTTTGTTGTCACTTCTCTTGCCTAAGATGCTCTTTCTGATTGCTCCTGTCTCAGCCTTTTCCCGGGTCCTCTAGAAAGACATCATGTCATTATTCAAGAGTAGTTTCACCTATTACTACACTGTTTTCTGTTTTTATCTGGACCACACATTTGCAACTTACCATTTACTTTTGGACTTGGCTTTATTTTTTTATGTGTTGATAGCTCACTCGTATCATGAACCATGAGCTCTAATAGGAGGTAAAATAACAACTTCATCTACTTTTATCCCATCATATGTACTGGGCCTAGTATGGTTCTTGTACTTGCTTAACTTATTTGCTTGGCTGTTACTCTACCCCTTGAGCAATGCTTCTAGTCAGCATTCTACTTGTTTATTGGAAATGGAGTCTCAAGACTTTTCTTCCCATTCCCATTTCTCCAGGTCTCAGTTCCTAGCTATGATACAGGCATGAGCCACTAGCAAGAGCTAAAGATAGGCTTTGCTTCAAGCATATTGTGAAATCCTAATTCTTTCAAGAAGATGTTCATTAATTAAGTATCGCCATTGATTAAAACATTGTGGAAAAATGCTACACCCACTTCCCTCCCAGAAAATTTCCAATGCTTATTTACATTTTCAACTCTAAGTTCTTCAGTGGTGAGACTGATTTTTTCTATTTTTAGCAGAAGACTTCTTAACTCCTGCAATAAATACTCTTTGTTTTTTTTTTTTGTTGTTTTTGTTTTTGTCAGTCATGGGGCTTGAACTCTGCGCTGGGGCACTATCCCAGTGCTCTTCAGCTCAAGGTGAGCTCTCTACTTCCGGTTTTTTAGTGGTTAATTGGAGATAATAGTCTCAGGGACTTTTCTGTCTGGGATAGCTTGGAACCATGATCCTCAGATCTCAGCCTCCTGAGTAGCTAGGATTACAGGTGTGAGCCCCCGGTGCCCGGCCTTTTTTAATTTTTTTTTTTGTTGGTTGTGGGGCCTGAACTCTGAGCCTGGGAGCTTTCCTGATCTCTTCAGTTCAAGGCTAGTGCTCTACTACTTGAGCCACAGTGACACTTTGGGCTTTGTCTGCTTATGTGGTGCTGAGGAATAGAACCCAGGGCCTCATGCATGCAAGGCAAATACTCTGCCACTGAGCCACCTTCCTAGCCCTGAAATACATTTTTTATCATAGGGTTACTATTAATTTTTCTTATCTCTTTAAAATATCTTTGCAAGGCATTTCTTTACAGATCTTTGTATAAAAATTATGCTAACCATAATCACAAGTATGGCTATTATTTTTTATTTACAAGTAGCATTTGAAAATACTAAGTGATAGAGCAGGTTGGGCTGGCTTGCTTTATCAGGTATTGGGCAAGTCACTGCCTCTATGTTCTCTTGGTTTATGTAGGTAGGGGTGTGTCTGTATAGTATGGATACAATTTGAAATCTGATTGAGACTGAAAAGGGAATTATTGATTGGAACCAGTCTTTCAGCCTGATTATCTGCTAGAATCTCTGTTGCTTCTCATAATATGCTTGAAAAGTTTTATTTGTATCTCAAGGGCAATGAGCCTGGCCTCATTTACAAATATGTATGCAGATGCCATCCTTGCACTATCTTTGCCTTCAGGCAGTCTTGCTGACTGTCAGCTTGCTTCACTTCCTCAAAAGGAAGAATATCCATTTCCTTGGAATTAGATACAGCATGGCCAAAGGGAAAATGGAAGTTCAGGAGTCACAGAATTTTATATGACTCCCAACACTGGTCTATACCCATGAGTCAGTTTTCTTCTCTGAGCCTCTGACTCCATATCTCTAAGCTGCGACAAACTCTTATGAGGCCATCTATTAAGCTAAACCTTAGTGTGACATGCTTAGTGCAGAGTTTGGGACTAAGGAGATACTCAGTAGATGCTTGCTCCCAGTTATTATTATTTTTGCATCAGATGGATCATCACAACAGACTAACAAAGCTTTAAAGTCATTCAGACAAAAATACCTTTCTCCAATAGTTTCCATCCCACATTTTAGGTTGTTATTTTTAATAATAAATGGCATCTCTATTCTTTGTGTCCTCTGTTTTTATGAGATGGTTGTGAATAATGAGGAATGATAAGAAATGACTTATTATGTAGACAGAATTGTAATAAAAGCAAATAAATAATCACAAGAATTTATTTTTAGAATTCATTGTAATCTTTTGGATGTAAAAGCAAGTTGACAATTATCCCACTATCCTTTAATAACAGGTAATTGTTCAACAATACCCCTCATTTTATTTTTTTAAAATCTTGTTTCAAAATATGATATCAGAAGATTCTGAATAGTATTTATAAAAACATACCATGTCAATAGCAAAATAGATAATTCTTGACATTTGATGTATCTTTAAGCATTTTTTATGTTTTGGTTTATGAATTCATTAAATTGTTCAAAGAGGACCTTGTGTCTTAAGGCAAAGTTTCAGTTAGCTTTCAACTTTGTATCAATATATTTTGTAATTTCTGCCACAGTATCATTAAGTTTTAGTTTTGGATTACCTACTACCAGGTACAAGGAAGACAAATTCACCTTTAGGTTAAATTTTTAAAGATGAAAGCAATATCAACAAAAAAGCTGAATGACAAAATTATTCATTGTAGTGTGACTTGTAATGTCCAGTGTAATTTGTGGTTTGCAGGCTTCTATGACCTCCATTTTAAAGAAAAGTTCATGCTTGTTATACTTGGTTGTTAATACATTATTCATGGTTATCTCTAATCATGGTTATCTCCAGCCATCCATGGCTACATTGTTTCACAAGAAACCAATGTTTTCCCCATGAAGGATAACAAATAGGAATTTTACAGTAGAATCTACCTTTAAATGTCAAATTATGTCTTGGCAGTTGTTTGACATAAACATTATAGATAGCTGCAGAAGCCAACATTCTTTGTACTTCATTGATTTAGACAATGGGTGAAGTCTTTAGAGCTAAACTGAAATAAGTTCATGCAATGAACTTAAATGTTCTTTGGACTGGCCTTGATTTCTCATTACTCTGTCTCTGTCTCGAACTGGTTCATTTCAGGAGAAGATGTATCAGGGAGCCTCTGCCCAGTACCTCCTCCTCCTGAAAGGATGGCTTGTGAAATACCCTGCCGAATGGACTGTGTGGTTAGCCAATGGACAGTGTGGTCATCTTGTTCCCAGTCTTGTTCGAATAAAAACTCAGATGGGAAACAGACTAGGTCAAGATATGTCTTGGCATTGGCAGGAGAAGGTGAGTAACAGAAAAGAGCTCCAGATTCAAAAGTTCAATGATCATTCTTAGTATTTCCATAAGTAACTGAGAAGGTAACCTTACGCCATTTCACTATTTTTTGAACCCAAATTAACTGCTTCATTTCCCTGCCCATTTTTAATCCTCTATTTTATCTCTGATGTGTTCACATACTCACATGAATTGTTTTAGTTCATACTTACATTTGGTCCTTATCAAGCAACTGAATATTATTGATTGCATTTCATAGAGATGGTAGCAAAAAGACAATTGGAAACATAATTGGATTGTCTAGTTAAAAAAAAGAATTCCAAATTAGGAATCAGGAGATATAATTTCTCAACCAATAACTGCCAACCCCCATCAGCAAGCTAGCTGATCCATGGACCCTGGTTTCTGATCTGTCATGTTAGCATGCTAGAGGCAGGGAGAGAACATAAAAGCTGTGAAGATGGCTTTGAAGAAGGTAAAAGTACACTGAGAATGCTAATGGTGACATCAGAACAAATGAGAGGAGTCACTGCACCTATCACTTACCTCCTCCTTTCATGTCCTCCCCTGCCTTGCTCTGCCTTTGGCTCCATTTGAACAAGATCGTAGGGACCCTGGCTGTGAGGAGCTTCTTAAACGAGATTGGGTTCTGTGATCCTAAGAAAATGGGAACAGGGTCAAGATAAAGGAAGATTTTTCATAATCTTAAAGTACAGTTGCTTCCCCTCTTATCTTTTGTATTTCTTGAAGGAGGAAAGTCAGTTATATGTAATTGGAACAAAAATAAGAGGAAAACAAAGTGAAGGTTACAAATCTTGGGCATTTGACCTGTTGAACAAAACATTATTGCATGGAAGAGCAGGCAAAGGTCAATACTTTTGAAAAACACCCCTTTTTACATTGATATAAAAAGGTGAAAGAAGAGGCAGCAATGAAGTTTGATTATCTGATTCACCCAAGAGTGTAAGGATGCACATCTGCCTGGTTTCCCTGCCAGCAGATAGCACACTGTTAGATGCTATTTCAGAGTTTGAGGATGAGCTCCTTCCTGCCAAACTTTAACAGATACTACTGGCTTTCTCAGATAGAAGAATGCACTTCTTGGTGGAGAATAAACACCTTATAGTGGCTCTCTGAGAAAACCAATGCCTTTCCCAGAAAATGGAGCATATGTAATATTACCTCAATATCATGGACTATTCAATTACTTGTGTAGGTATAATAATAGTGAAAGAAAACCCTATTTATGTGGGATTTGTAATCCACAGGTGGTAATTAACATTATACTCTCTATTTTGTGAATTCATATCAGTCATTTGTGGAAAAGGTTTATATTATCCTCACTTTCTGGTCAAGACAAATATTTCTATATTTGAATTGAGAAGGGGAAGAATTATTCGGTGCAGCAGTAGTCCCATAGGCCATTAAACTAGCAAACACACACAGACATCGTATGCACATGCACACGCACACAAAATACATACATATAAAAGAAGAACAAGGGCAACATCAGAAATTATGTTTTCTGTTTTATTCTAATTTTTGGCAGGTGGAAAGCCATGTCCTCATAGTCAGGCCCTCCAAGAGTACCGTTTATGCAATGACCATTCCTGTGTGCAGCTCTACTGGGAGACATCACCTTGGGGTCCTTGTTCTGAAAACACGTTGGTAACATCCCTAAATGCCACCATTGGCTGGAATGGAGAAGCGACCTGTGGAGTGGGCATTCAGACACGGAAGGTCTTCTGTGTCAAGAGTCATGTGGGACAAGTGATGACCAAAAGGTATGTTCAAGCTATTACTAAAAGTGCATGTGTTCATTACATAACTGAATACTTTAGTTGAAAATATTTATTCAGTAGCTGACACATGTAAGATTAAGAATGCATTTGTTTTTGTTCTTGTTACTTGATTCTCAGAGACTGAAATATTTGCTTTAAACAAAGAGAAGTAGAATTATGGTATATATCACCCTGTGCATTTATTATAACTGTATTAGTTAATGGATAAGAGTAAACTATGCACCATACAACAAATGTGTTTGGATGATCAAATGAGTTTTCTTGAGCTAAACTGAGTAGTTTCGACTCATCTTAAATCATATAAAGCCTATGTCACATGTAGTTTCTAAATTTTGAATTATGTGGTTGTGTTTTAGTCTTTTAGCTTCCATAGATCTTTCCTGCAGCAAACTAATATATCCAGTGGTTTTGATTGGATTTATCCATGCTTTCAAGTAGAATGAAAATGTGTTACTTTTTCAGAAAATGACATATAAAAATTTTAATATGAAAAGGAAAACATTAATATGGTAGCTAGAATAAAGAATTCAAAAAAGTTTAAGAAGAACTGCAGATGATGAGATAGGGAAATAGTTGACTGGATAATTGAGTTTATCTCTAGATGTGTCTCTAGATACATGTTGAAAAAGTAAAGCTAGGAAAAGAGAATATATCCAGTAATATACTATTTTTAAAGATTGACTGATTGATTTACCTATGAGATTTCCCTAGTGGCCATATCTGGAGATGCTACCCCAGCCATAGTAGTGGTGGGTCATCAGGATGAGCCAGTGGAAGCTTTGGCCTATATTGGTAAACACAGCAACTTAGTCATTCCTCATGAATTTTCAAGGTAACATAAAACATACCTATTTCTTCATGATGCTCTAAGCATGCAACTAATACTTGTTGTCATGGTGAGGCCTAGTGGGAAAAAGCAAGAGGAATTGATGAAGCCAAGGCTCAGACAGAAGCAGAAAAGTAGGCAGAACAAATTTGTGGGCATCAAATACATTCCTTCTAACTCCTTCCTAACACATCTGCCTTTTCTGAAAGCATAGGAAAATAACATTTGTTCTTCTGTCTAATCTAATGTTATTTGTGTCCCTACTCTTGGAACCAAAGCAAGAATAATTTCATCTGAAGCATCATGGTGAAGGGTTCTGATTCTTCCATGGAAGCCACTTTGGTTTAATAACAGGGGCTTTTTTTTTGTCGGTTGAGGGGCTTGAATTCTGGGCCTGGGTGGTATCTCTCAGCTCTTCAGCTCAAGGACAGCACTCTACCCCTTTAGCCACAGTGCAGCTTCTGGATTTTCTGTTTATGTGATGCTGAGAAATCAAATGCAGGGCCTCATGCATGTGAGGCAACCACTCTTCCCAGTCTCGATAACAGTTTTTAAGAAAAGGTTCTTTAAGAACAGCTTAAATATGACATTCTAGAATTTTACAGAACATTTCACACACTTATATGAATTTATTTGAAAATTTATATGTATGAGATTGTAAAATATAACAATGAGTATTTTCCAGTTTTGCTTTACTTCACCAAAATTTAAAAATGAAGTGTCCAGATGTTTCCCTAGCACAGACACATAGAACACACACACACACACACACACACACACACACATATACACATATATATGCATATATATACACACACACATATATATATATAAAGAGAGAGATAGAGACAGAGACAGGGAGACAGGAGAGGAAGGGATGTTAACATTAATTACTTCTCATTGCTAATGATGCTAAAGACTAAACCAAATTTTAATATATACCGAATGTATGTCTTCAAACAATCCTATTAAATATAAACATCCTACATCAACTTAGTCAATTTACTTAATTAAAATTCTATGAGGTTATTCAGATTAATTGAGCTAAGAAAATGATACTTAATGTCCATTGAAGCACTCAGTGAGATTATCAGAATAAAAGTACTTCTTTTTTTGGCAGAAAAAGGGGGAGCAGTACTAGGAATTAAACTGCAGACATCTTGCAAGCATTCTACAACATAGGCCATACTCTCAATCCTTTTCATGTTTTTAGTTTATTTTTCACAGTGTTTCTTTATAAAAACTTAAATTATATCTATGTAGTTGTATAAGGGTTTTCAACAAAGTATGTCAGTTTATGAGTATACAATCCTACTTCTAGTTCCCAAGTAACTGGGAGAACAGGCATGGTGATACCTAGAGGTCAGGAAGGATCATTTGCCTTACTCTTGTCAAAAAATACTTTAATTGGTTTTCAATGGAAACTAATGAGGGAAAATAGATTTCCTGTAAATTGTGAAATCCTTGAGTGGTGAGTGAGACAGAAACAGGTAAAAGCAATAATATTCGCTAAAAATACTTTATACAGAAAAAAAGAAGCATGTCTCTATAGAATGAATGAGTAAAAATAATGTATTTTATTATTTTGTAAAGCCCATTGCAGAGAAAGGCACAAAGTTCCTTGCAACTTCTTGATTACCTGGAATGGTACTCTGGCATCTGTGTCATTCTGTAGGTGAGAATGTTCCTATTGCATGAGTAATAGAACTGATTGTATCAGAAAATGAACACTAGCCAGCTACAACTGAACGAGAAGTGAGAACTTGTTGGGATACTTCTGGTGTTTGGTTTGGTTTTGTTTCATTATCCAGTGTCTTTCCATTGTAATGTCAAAAAAATAATAGCAAAAACAGAGATTAAAAACACAATTTCTAGCTTTCCAAAGTTCCTGATAAGATACTTCTTGCCTTTGCTGTGAAAACACCTGGCTTTTTTTTGTGTGAGATAGAGTAATAAATAGCTCCATTTAAACATTTAGTATATAAAAAGTTGGCAGATTTGCCCCATCAACCTGAATGAGATGAATATGTCATTCCCGGGTTGGATGAGTGATCAGGGAGATGGAGCATTGTGAGCACATCATGAAAAATGGCAGGTCCCATGGCTCAATTTGATGCATTTCAGCCCAGTGCTGAAGCCTACAGGATGGAGCTTGCTAGTCAAGGCCACGGAAATCTATGTATGGAAATGGAATATATTCGCTTTTTACAAAACGTGGTGCCATTTCATGAGTTACTTTATGCATTAAAATAGGAAGAGTAAAGTAGAAAGTAGAAAGGCAAAGAGCCATACTTAGCTTAATAACTTAAAATCTAAATGCATATTGTAAGGCTGTATTCTTTTTTTTTTGGAAAGGTGGGAGAAATAAGCCAAATTTCCTCCCCAAATTAATTTGGCTTTTAGTTTCATAATGTAAAATATCATATTATGACTCACTTTCCATTGCTAAATACCCACACACACTGAGAGAAGGTCGTCATTTTACAGCAAGGTGTAATTTCATCATCAACACATGCAAAATTAGTGTGTATTTAGTGTGTATTGTACACCCAACATAACAAATTGTATCAATAGCACACAACAGTATAAACAGCAACACAAATGATATCAAAAGCCTTGTTTTGGTCAGTCATGGAAATGATACAGAAACTAATCTTACAGGTTTTGGAAGTGGATGACTTACAATTGCTAATAGACAATGTTGATCTCTTCAGACACTGGTTGGATATTCATGAAAATTGAAAATAGACAAACACACAGTTAAACAGGCAGAGGAAGAGGACTCTGAGTAAGAAATAAGTCTTATTGGCAAATGAGTAAACAGAACAATTTCATACACAAGAAAATATTTGGTCCTATATCAGATTGGATTGTCCTCTTCCTTTCCTAGAAGGCCTTCTGTTCATTGCTTCTGTTAAAAACACTGTAACCTAAGCCTGGACTTTGCCACCGAGAGAGTGATATTCTCTCTGTCTTGAAGATTAAAAGAGAATATACACAGGAAAAGGAGTTTTGTAGAGAGTTGGCAAGATTCCCAGTGAACCTTTATTGTGAGTGATGCTAGTAGAGTCAATATAGTATCAATTCCCCATGAGACTATTCTGGGTTAAAGTCCCCACAATATAGACACCCTCTATAGAAAATCCAAAGTCCAGCACTACAAATATTTCTCAACTGTTTCATGAATTTGTAGGGAGGAACATTCAGCCACCCATGTGATTTTACCTCCATAACCCTCAGAGCACAGAGGAACAGGCACTACTCAAGCTGCATTCTTCACTTTGCCATGTACTGGGAGAGGTGGTAGAGGGCTGAGAACAAACAACATTTAATAGTCGGTGTGTGTGTGTGTGTGTGTGTGTGTGTGTGTGTGTGTGTGTATGAGTGTGCACACAAGAGTGGTTAGTAATAATGTCATTGATAGGACTGAGTTTGTTAATATCTTCTGTGGTCCATGCATTTTTATTTTTATGCATTTTATCAAAGTATTTTATGTTCCATAGAAGTGAATAATACAGATATATTGATAATGGCCAGCAATTAGTTATTAGCATATGTCATCCACTAAAAAATCTATAAGATTTAGTTTCTGTATCATTTCTTTTTTTGAGATTTACAACTCAGGTATTATTTTATTTTTTATGTTTTTTATTGTGAAAATACTGTAAAGAGGGGTTACAGTTATATGAGCAAGGTAATAAGTACATTTCTCATCAAGCATTGTTGCCTCCTCCTTTGATTTTCCTCTACCATCCCTTCCCTCCCACCTCCACAACTATACTCCCTCCCCCCACCCTGCCTAAATTGTAAAGTTCATTATTCAACATAGTGTCTTGTATATCTCATTGTACAGTGAAAGCAAGGGATATACCGTGGGAGAGGAACATACAAAGAAACCAAAAAAATCACATAGTACCTTATAAATATGTTAGAAACAATAACAAGAAAGAAAAAAACCCACTTATGTCCCTATCTTGGGGTTCATTTCACTTAACTTCATCTTATATGGTCATATGTACATAGCTCTATATCATTTCTATGACTGACCAAAACAAAGTTTTTGATATTATTTGTGTTGCTGATTATAATATTGTGTGTTATCGATAGTTTATTGTGTGTACAACACACACTAAACATAGACTAATTTTGAATGTTT